TCCCAAGTACTTGAAATGCTCCACATTAATGTAGAAAGTTAGGGGATCAAATGTTGAGAATGCTTTCTACAATTACGTACAGAAACCTTCATCTTCCCATGTATCTGAAATTCAAGGCATACAACTTAAAGTACACAGAATTTCTTAGTTTTACTTCGATAAAATTACGTAACTTGAACACAAGTTCTCTGCGTACATGCACAGACATATATGAACAAAATGTGAGACCTGGATTAGGACTTCCATTTCCAAGTACATCATTTGTAACCATGCCAACGGCCAAAAAGCTTTTTCAGCTTAAAGTGTACACGTCTTTAACAGATATTTTTTGTTCCATGTTGAAGACGTCGAAGAAACACAGAGAATGAAAAGAGAGTCAAGAGGCAGGCACGTCGAGACTCCAATGAAGATGAGGATGGCGGATTCACAAGGGAAGCTGCAATAGTATCACCCATAAGAAGGTAAAAACAATTAAACTAAGGAAGGAAGGCTTGAGTCATGGGTGTCACCTCCCTCAATTACCAACACTGAAGTCAGTTTTCGTTGACTCCATAACGATTTCATACAAGATTTGGGGTAAGCAAGTCTGATGATCATGCGTATGGTCTAGTCCAGTGGTATTCAACCTGGGGTACGCGAAGACATCTTAGGGGGCATACGAAATTTTAAAAAAATATATATTATTTTATGATAAACACTGAATAATAAGTAATGAAATTTATTTAATTTATTTTAGATTTAGATGTAGATTATATACAATGTATAACTTGAATTATACACCACAACTTTGGGGGTACAAAGTTGAAGAGAAATTATATCTGGGGGTACCACTGGTCTAGTCTACAGCAGCGCCATAACAGACGGGAGATTAGGACATCTACAAGACTGAACGCATGCCGAGACACTAAACCTCTGTAACTGACAAACATTTTTCTCTTAATAGGAGTGCCTTAACTGTATTAATAAGACGATCAATGACCACAGAAGATTGTTCAGATGACAGTTCCTTTTAATATTAATAAAACTTTGGGGTACGGCAGGGGAGATTACAGCCCAGCGGACGTGAAATGTCTTTGACTATGCTTCACGATTTGTGTACAACAGTATTTAGCATTCCAGGCACATCCATCACATTTAAAAGACAGTTCTCTGAATTTGACGAACAAAAATTTAGTAAACAAATCAGAAATGAACTTCTGTTTGGTTATTAACTACGTTTCTATATTAAAGACGGTTCTTGCTTCCCAGTTATTACTTACAAGACAAATTAATTATGTTGGTTAAATTAACTATATTTTGTTCATGCATCTCCCTCCCACTGAATATTCATGTTCAGTAGCACAAATGAATATAGTTCTGACAGTTGTAAGATTCGAGGCTTTCGCGGCAGTGAGGATGATGATGATAATGATCTTGTAGGTTTTACCTACATGTTACACTCATAAGTAGATGCCATCCCATAAATTTAAAACTGTACGAGAAATCACACATTGTACACGCCTATTTTTGTGTAGTGCAAAAAACAATTTTTGGACGTAGTAAGAACGAAGTCAGAAATTTAAACTACACGGATTTTAGTTATTTTAGTTTTTTATTTGGTTTTGTATGGAGTATATTTTATTTTGTTATATTTCTGTAGTTCCATAAATATTAAATAAACTGAAATTTTTTAAAATAAGTATAAATATGTTTTTACTGTTTTAATTATATTTTGTTTTCTGTAAAAATTCGAAAACCGGTTTAACCATTTTTTTGTAAATACTGGAATTCGAAAACAGGTTTTTTCAAAAGTCGGTTTTTGTATAAACCCTAGTACAATAGTGGGCTTTCCTACAACATGAGTTAAACCTTCAGTCAGAATATTTATTTATATCGACTACCAACACAAGTCATAAATGCAAAATGTCTAACTTCATTACAGGCGCCGAGCTCCCGACAATCAAGACACAGATGTTACAACAAAGGAGCCGACAAACTACGACAGTACCTTTGACCCAATTGAAGATATAAATGCTGGAGAAGTATCAACAGGAACAAGGAGGCGGAGGTCAGTGTCGGAGAAAAGACATATATTAATTATATGGTGCGGCTAATTAATTTTTGTAAGAAAGTCATTCATACTCCTAATACGTCTTCTTATTCTGATAGGCTGTGTCACGTGTAGTCATATGTAAGGTGTATTCTAAACCAAAAATACTCAGGGAATGAATTATTACAAGTCAACTTACTACTAAGTACGCAGTTAACACACTGTGGGCGATTTAAAATCATTTAACGAGTTGATTTAATAATGGCCACACGAGTGTGGATTCTTAGGCGAGTTCAGGGATGTTCCCACAGATAATCTGAACATTCTTCGAGGTTGCGGGAAGGGAGGAATACAACCTTGTAAAGGTCTAATTAAGAGGTTAAACTGAAAATAGGTAAATTTAAATTTTTTAAACGGCGCACAACATTCAAAAAGGCAGAGACTGGATTTAAGAACTAATTTTCATATTATAAGTAAATTATATGATAAATTGTTTTTGTTCAAAGCTAACGGGAAGACTGCATAGATTACTATTAATTCTTTAACATCGCTAACTTTCTGTATTTCAAGAAAGCACCTGCAGTTAGTTACTTAAGGCAGGAACTGTAGAAAGTGGCTAGAGAAATTATGAAATAAATATTCCACAACTGAGTGACTTTCACTCAGAAATGCAGTACAATATACCAGAATACGTCATTATGTAGACGTAAAAATTTCCAGTGTCTGAAAATGGTTGGTGTAAGCTCATGTAAAATTTTATATGTTACCAATGTTCTCAATTTAATGCACACTGACAAATTTTGTTTAACAATCTGTAGGTATCTTTTATAACGAATCACCAGTCAAAATTTTGCATGTCACAGCAGTTCATCACTAAAGCAAACAGATTTCTTGTATTTACCATCACCAAAATATTAACTTAACAACAGTTGCATTAAGTTTAAAACATCTATCTCCAAGCAAAATTACTCGATCTCAAATTACATCTGATGACTGGCATATCTGTATTGAAGATGGCTGTCTTCTGGGTTGTGCTGTGTACTGATATTTCAGAGGCACAAAGCACCTCTGAAACGTCGGTAAACTTTCACCAGACTACATGACACAAAAACCCAAAAGACAACCATCTCCTAATTTTTACTCGGAATACTTCTATAGACCAAGGACAGACCTCAACTCCTCAATTACATCAACATGGAAACCCACTTCGTGTGGCCAAATTCTGAATACTTTAAATGTCTCCGGAAGACAATCAATTAAACACGAGCATTTTATGTTAAAGGCGGGAGGCTGACGCATCTACAGTGGGGACCCTCGACGGGAGTCAAGTGATCGTAGTGGCACCATCAGACGTTCCCGTGAAAGAGATCCCTAAAGCACTAAATCAAACGCTTGCAACTCTACAGGATCGAATCAACCACTTCGAGGATGAAGCGACAGCAGGTCTAGCAACTGTACCCACAGTGGGGGTTTTAGCTGGGGCAAGTACGAAGCAAGACAAAGACACAATTATCCACACCATATCATCTGCACAGTACATAGTACACTGAGACTCATCAAAGTCTACACAGGTTTCATGGTTATTTTAAATTACTGACACGGTGGAAACAATCCATCAAAATATAAATCCAACGCACGCTTAATGATGATAATTCAAATACAAAATGCATAATACCAAAACAACAGCTGTCACACAAATCAGACTCAAACCCGGTCCAGCAGTAATTGTCAACAGCTCAACAATTTGCTAGAAATAGTTTCAAAACTCATCAAGGACTGAAAAGCCGAATGGCTTATGTTGAATACCGACTCATAAAATAGTAATTATTTATAAATCAATTTATAAGAAATATTAAACGTGTACATTTTATTTTAATGATTTCATATTTGTGTTAATAGGTGTAAAGAATATTTTGTGTAAGACGTTAAACATGAAGAATACGTCTAGACTGAAAATTCAGATGACCTATATATTAAGAAGAAAATTAAATTTAATGTGAACAATAATTTAGAACACATTTATAATAAATCATATTAATGCCAGTTTCAATCACATGGAATTATGTACATATTTGATATAACTCTCAGTAAATGGCATAATAATTTGTCACACAGAAAACTTTTGTATCGGTGGTAAATAAACACGATTTGATTTCAGTTCATTTAAGATATAGTCATTCTATGACCACCACAAACTGTAAATTAAATTATGAACATCAAATATAAAAATCAACCAATTGTTTACCTCAAAATACTGCACTTATATTTGCGTGTAATAAAAAATACAACCCTGTTTCTAACAAGGACTTTAGATGCGAATTGTGAACATTTGTACAGTAATAAAACGTAAGAATCCTGTTCGTAGTTAACGTGTCACACTGTGCCCATCCACGTCACAGTCACTCTTGATGAGCTGACTGCTTCTCAGCTGCTAAGAAGTTTACCAACTTCATGGAACCTAAACGTCGATACCAGGTTCAAAACAATCCACCAATAGTCCATATCCTAAACCAGATTAACCTAGTTCCATTCACATTACACAAAATGAGCTACTGGGTTATATTACGAACAGCAAAACTGTTAAATTTATTAATAAGGAATAGAAACTATTAGTGATATGTTATAATGAATAAGATAATCTATTATAGACCCTACGTAAATGTGCACACAAAATTTCAACCATCTTCAAAATATGTGATAAAACATCAAAAGTTTGTGATAGGCATTGGTATTCTCGGTGTCGGTCTGTAATTCCCCGTCATATTTTATATATGGTACCGGCAATGTATAGAATGCCTGAAGTCAGTAGGCAAATTATGAAATAAGTCGTAATGTTAATATTGTTCGGTTGCGTAAATTAAAATTAATCAAAGTCGATTGGGTAAGCTGTCAAGATGGAGGTTGTGCAAGATAGTCGCGAAAACACCAAGAGACTGAATCTGAACACAACAAACATTTTGAAAATTAAAATAGAAATTGTTCTATATTAAGTTTTTGCAAATATAGAAGATAAAATAAAACTGTACAAATCGTATTATAGAAACTTCTGTTATATACTCGGATACTAGGAACGACCCGTTCTTCAAGTGCCTGAGCACTGCGGGTCCCAACTTTTCGTTGGCTTGATCTATAGTCATTCGGTAGGACTCCTTGGA